AAATAAATAAATAAATAAACAAACAAAAAACAGTGATCTCCTGGTGCTCCTTCCAGCGAGGTTTATTTCGGCCTCCGGCAGGAAGGGGTGCTGAGTGGGAAGAGGTCACTGGAAGGCCGGGTGACTCTGAGGGTCTAAGGAAGCAACGACGGGGTTGAGCAGAGAGGAGCAGACGGTCCCCTCTTCCTGGAGCCAGGTTTGCAGAGGCTGGGGTTGTGTCCAGCATCCCGTGCGGGGCGGGCGCAGGCCTGACAGGACGAGGCCAGGCCGTCACGTAACAAGACACAGACAAGGGGCAAGCGGGCGGGAAAGGGGGCAGAGGAGTGATCTGCTTTCCCACTGCTGCTTTCCAGGAAAACCAAACTGCCATCTGCTCCGTCCCTCGATCTTCCTCCTGATAACACTGGTCCTGGTCCTCCTGGGGTAAGAGACGTCTGCCCGTGATGTGACCGATGGCGGCCAGGCTGGGGGGACGGCCGATGCAGCCAGCGAGACCCGCGGGCCCCCGAGCGATGCCCGCCCGACTGTCACAGACTAACTCGGCCCTAAGGACCCCTGTGCCCACGCTGGCTCTGGCGGGACGGTGTCCACCCTCCGCTCGCCCCTTGTTCACGCTTGGCCTGGGTGGGCTCGTGCGGCCCCTGCACAGACGAGGAGTCCGGGGCTGGGAGGACAAGTCACTTGCCACCGCTGCGTGGCCGGGGGAGGGGAGGGCCAGCCTGGGCCCTGAGCTGTCAGCTGCTTCCAGATGGAGCAGGTCCTAAACCACAGAAGCAAGTCACTGGCCAGCTCTGCGGGGCATCCGTGGACACGGCCAGGAAACAGTCCCTGGGGTGGCCTCGGGGGCTGCACTGACTGGACACGGGTCCTTGGCAACTGCTGCAGGTGCCCATACACGGAGCACTGTCCCCAGGGAGCCCCCTCCTGGCGTGGGACGTGTGAGTCTCCTGGGCTTTGCGGAGGAGGTGCTGGCCTGCAGCAGGGGCTGTTTGGAGGGAGGGATGGACAGGCGGGTCTCGCTGCTGCGTCCTGAGCAGCTGCCTGGGGTGCACCCCCTTCCCGCAGCTACGGGATCCTGAGCCCCGGAAGCCGGATGCTGGAGAGCCTGGGGGCCGGGTGAGTAGGGGTGAAGAAGGGGAGGGGACCCTCTGTGCTGGCATGGCGGTCTGGGTCCTGCTCTGGGCCCCCCTGCCCATCCCAGGCCTCACATCCACGCCATACCGGCTGTGCCCGAGGCCTGCCAGCTCCGCCCTTCAGCAGCTCCCAGGACCCTGGGCTGCGTCTGCCCGGCCTGCCCTGGTCCGGCCGCCCTCGTCTCCGTCTACCCTGTCCCCACTCCCCTTGCAGGAGCTAGAGTGACCTTTCTGGAACATACCTTAGGATGCCCTCTGTGGTCTGGCCCCCACTCCCCCCAGCCAGAGGCCGGACTCCAGCCTCTGTGGGTGCTGTACCCTCTGCCGGGACCACTCGTCTGCCCCTGCTAATTCCCACTCGTGCCAGTCCCCATGTGTCAGAACACGGCACCCCACTCGTGATGGCGGACGTCACAACCGCGGGCCACTGTCTCTCCCTGGGGTCCGGCCTCCTGTCTTCACTGGGTGCAGCTGGGTGATTCTCCTTGGGGCCTAAGGCGGTCCCAGGCAGACGGTGGCTGACAGCATGTTTCTGGCGGTGGGTGCTGGCTCTCCGCCAAGACACCTCCCCGAGCTCCCCATGTGGCCTGGGCTTCTGCTCCCTCAGCTGGGACTTTCAAGGCCAGCGTCCCAAGAGAGATGGGACAGGAGTCGTACTGCCTTTGAGAACCTGGATTCAGAAGTCGCCCGTCAGCACTTGTGCCACATTTGATTTCTTAGAAGGATCAAAAATCAGACCCCACCTCTTGATAGGAGGCGGCCTCAGAATTTGCAGACATGTTCTAGGCATGCTCCGCCCTGCCCAGGCTCAGCTCAGAAGCGTGTGGCTCGGCCGAGGTCTGCCCTCGGCCTGCAGCGTTCGACGGTCCAGCCCTGGGCCCACCGCCACCGCGACAGCTGTGCTGTGCCTGTTGCAGGTGGATCCGCTCCACACTTCGGGCCGCCACCGTGCCCCTGTCCCTTCTACCAGGACCCCCAGCTTTGCTCCACGCACTCGTGTCCTAAATTCTGCCCCTGGAATAAACCCCATCTCCTGTGTTCTCACCCTGCAGCGCGGCTGTTGGAGAACCGGACGGCCTGCACGCGGCCACGCTGTCAAGGTACAGTGTCTTCGCCTGCTGCCTGTGCGCGTGTGGGCAGGGGCGCGGGGCCGGGCGCGTCCTCTCTCCTGCCACGGACGATGGCGGCTCCTTGCCCAGTCTCCACTCTGACTCTGCTCAGGGGCATTAAGCACATTCACGTTGTTGTGCAACCATCACCACCATCCATCTCCAGAACTTTCCGTCTTCCTCCGTCCCCACGAAACACCAACTCCCCGACCCCCTCCCCTAGCCCCTGGCACCCACCGTTCTGCGGCCTGTTGCTGAGTGCGGCTGCCCTGGCTACCTGGTGCAAGTTGGATTACACAGGACAGCGACCGACTCCATGCACTGAGCTTAGCGTCCTCACGGCTCGTCCAGCTTGTGGCCTGTGTCAGAATTGCCTTCCTTTTTAAGGCCGACTCCCTGCTTTTAAACACCGTCATGGGACATCCAAAGTGCAGCCATCATTGACAATTACGAGTGGCAGCGGGCTCATGTCTCCTGGGGCTCTGCATCACGTTAGGACTGGCGGTGCTTGGCGCCACTGCTGGGGCCGGCCCCGCGACAGCTGAGAGAGGCAGGTGTTGCCCTCCCGCTGCCCAGACGGGAAGGCCGGGCCCTGCAGTCACCGGCCGTGAAGGGCAGAGCAGGTCAGGCCCAGGTGATGGCCTGTGTACCCGAGGGCTTTCCCTGCGGGTGACCGGGAACAGAGGCCACGCCCAGCCTCCTCTCCTCAGCGAGTTAAAACATGACCCGACCCTGTAGGCCGCCCGCAGCCTTGAGCCGAGTGGAAGGCAACGCGCCCCGAGGTCACTCCGCTCCCTGGCGGTTGGCAAATGCTTGGCGAGGACGGATTGTGGCTGACGCAGGGCTGGGCCCCACGTAACTTCCCGCAAACTCACGTACCGGTGTTCCGTGTTTGCAGGATGGTCTATCCCCAGCCCAAGGTGCTGACGCCCTCGTGAGTAAACTTCCTGGCGTTGAGGAAGATGCTAAAAGCGGTGTCCTTGGTTTCGGTCTCCAACCGAGCTCGCTTTGCTGGTCCTGTCCTCTGAGGTTTCTGGGGTCTGCCTTTGGAGGCCCACATGGTTCTGCCTCTCCTTTCCCTTGCTTTGACTTGCGTTTCTCGTTTCCTGTCCCTGTCCTACCCCTTGACCCGCGAGTCTCGCTCCCCTAGTGGCCCAGCAGGGTCTGATGTCCTGGAAGGGCTGGAAATGGCGCGCCCGGCTGCAATCTGGACCGGTTTTCCCGCAAATGCCAGTCCTTCCGGGAGGGTGGTCAGAGGCCCTGGATGGGGTGGCCGAGCGCCGGCGTCAGCATGGGTGGTCCCCTGCTCTCTCCCTGTGCAGTCGGACAGATGTCCTGGTCTTGACCCCCTGGCTGGCTCCCATCGTCTGGGAGGGGACTTTCAACAGCGACATCCTCGATGTGCAGTTCCGGCTCCAGAACACCACCGTTGGACTAACTGTATTTGCCATCAAAAAGTAAGTAGGCGAGTGCTGGGGACATCAGAGTCTGTCCTTGTCTTCAGGACCGAAAGGGGGGACCAGCCTCATCCTCCCACAGGGTAGATGTTACAGGTCCTTTGCTTGGCGTCCTACTGAGCTCTCCTGAGCTCACCGGGTGAATAAAGCCCTTCCCTGGAGGCTGCTGTCACCGGCAGTGGCAGCTCTAGCGCTCTGCCCCCCTCTGTACCTGCGGCCACCCCCCAGCTGAGCAGCAGCCACCCCCCACTCAATACCGGGCCCCAGGTGGGTCCCTTTCACTGGCCAGAGATGGCAGGAGGGGGACACCTGTGTGCTCTCCTTGGACCAGTAGACGCAGGACGCCGGCAGAGCTGTGGGCACACCTTTGTGCTCACCTGTAGGAGGGAGGGGCAAAGCACCTGACCCCAGACCCCTGGAGAGGTAGCTGGCCGTGAGCGGGGGACTCTGGGTCAGGCCGGCTTCACGGGCCGGCAGGGCAGCCCCAGCGTGCAGCTTGACCTCTGGAGCCTGCGGGGAGCCAGGCCAGTGACAAGGCCACCCCCGGGGACTGCCGTGGGGCGCAGAGGGAAGCGTGTGGAAGGGCGCGTGTCCTTCCCCCAGTGCTCTGCCTCCAGGAGGGTCCTGGGGCCTTTGCAGCCCCCTTTACTCGTTCAGACGCGGGAAAGGAGTGCGCCTACTTGCCGGGACCAGGAAGGGCCAGGGGACAGCCCAAGAATTCCTATTCCAGTTCCCAGGGACAAAGGACTGGAGAGAGCCCCCGGGGGCTCTGTCAGGGCACCATCTTGCCATTGCACCAGGCCATCTGTCTCCCCTCTGGGCCCTGAGCTGATCCCCACGTCCCCAGCACCCTCGGAGAGAAGCAGCCCTGCCAAGTCGAGCCAGGAGCCCACGGCCACACCCCACAGTGGCCAGGCCTGGGCTCGCGCCCCTCACGCCCGGCGCCGGTGCTGGGCTCTCTCGGCCCCTGTGCGTGTGTCCCCTGACTGCCACGGTGCCTGCACTGCCCTGGGACAGATGTGCAGGGAGCTGGGCGGGGGTTAGCAGCCATGGTGCCTGCGCTAGACTCTGGGGTCTTGGGGGCACAGCACACTTGCGGGGCAGTGGGGGAGCCCCTGTCCCCAGGGTGGGAGCACGTGGCCCTGGGAGACCGCAAGGAGGGCCCAGCCATTGCAGCAGTTGGAAAACTTCCTGAGGTCGGGGCAGACACCTGCCCTGGGCCCAGAAGCTTTGACCCTTGGATTTGAGGTTTGAGGCCCGCACTGTCCGCCCTCCCTTCCCCTTCTCCTTTCTGGGGTCCCCGTGGTGCCAGACCTGGTCCCTGATCCAGTGGAAGAGTCAGCAGTGACCCCGCCTTAGCACTCTAAGCAGTTTACTGAGCACCTGCCCACAAAGCACCCTCAAGCCTCCCAGAGGAAGCTCCAGGGTGTAGAGATGGGCGTGGGGGACCCAGGAGAGCCACTTACAGTGAGGGGGCAGGAGGCCGGGCCCTGGCCGGTCCAACCAGCTCTGCCGGGCGTGGTAAGGGAGCTGTGTGCCGGGGCTTCCTTCCAGCCAGGCATGGCAGTTTGCCCCAGGAGGGGGCCCACGCAGGGGGTTTCCCCCGGAGCCCAGCTCCAGCTCTGCTGCCTGCGGGCCGCGGTGAGGTTTCCAGTCCCCTAAGCCCGGCTCTCCTGCCACAGACGGTGCGGGCTCCTGCGTCCCAGGGAGGAGGGGAGCCAGGCAGAGCTGAGGCCTCGCTCAGGACGGGGCGGGGAGCGCTGTGCACTGGCTGCCTTGAGCCTGCCAGGGCCTGTCCCACCAGCAGAGTGGCCGCCGGGCAGGGCCTGGCCAGTGCCGGGCGGCCTCCCGCAGCCCCGCCGCCCACCTGCCCCGCAGGTACGTGGTCTTCCTGAAGCTGTTCCTGGAGACGGCGGAGAAGCACTTCATGGTGGGACACCGGGTCATCTACTACGTGTTCACCGACCGGCCGGACGCGGTGCCGCGCGTGGCTCTTGGGCCGGGCCGGCGGCTGCAGGTGCTGCGTGTGCGGTCCTACTCGCGCTGGCAGGACGTGTCCATGCGGCGCATGCAGATGCTCAGCGACGTCGCGGAGCAGCACTTCCTGCACGAGGTGGACTACCTGGTGTGCGCCGACGTGGACATGCAGTTCCACGACCACGTGGGCGTGGAGATCCTGTCCTCGCTCTTCGGCACCCTCCACCCCGGCTTCTACGGGCGTCCCCGCCAGGCCTTCACCTACGAGCGCCGGCCCCAGTCCCAGGCCCACATCCCCTGGGACGAGGGTGACTTTTACTACATGGGTGCCTTCTTCGGGGGGTCCGTGCCCGAGGTGCAGCGGCTCACCAAGGCCTGCCACCAGGCCATGATGGTCGACCGGGCCAATGGCATCGAGGCAGTGTGGCATGACGAGAGCCACTTGAACAAGTACCTGCTGTACCACAAGCCCACCAAGGTGCTGTCCCCGGAGTACATGTGGGACCAGCAGCTGCTGGGCTGGCCCTCGGTCCTGAGGAAGCTGAGGTTCGTGGCAGTGCCCAAGAACCACCAGGAGATCCGGAGGTCTGAGCCCGAGAGCTCAGGGCAGGCTGGCCGGGCAGCCGGGTCTGCCTCCCGGGCCACCCGAAACTAGAACCAGTTTCAGCAGATAGGGTGCGACTCCGCTCCCTTTTTCTTTCCTGCTGGAAGAAATCGCTGAAGCCTAACGCCCACCCCACCCTCGAATTCAGGCTGACGTAGCACCACGCCCCAGAGACCACAGACACAGGCAGACAGACAGGCACAGACAGACACAGACACGCACACACACACGTGCACACACACACTTAAGCTGCCCCAATTCAGGGCCTTGGGTACCAGTTCCTGGCAGGGCCACTGCCTGCAGCGTGTGCTCCCAAGGAAGCTCCAGCTCCAATGGGGCAAGTGGTCTCAGCCCCTCCGAACAGGGGGTCAGACATAAGTCTCCTCCAGAGCAAGGAAGGAGCCTCTGGGACACAGTCTCGGGGAGGGGGGCCTGTGTGCCAAGACACCGGCACACATCTTGAGCTTTAGGCTTTAGGCAATACCTTCATCTTCTTGAAGGCTCCTGCCCCACCCTACCCAGCCACCTGCTCCCCACAGGGTCCCCCTAGCCCCCCTCAGCTCAGGAGAGGCTCCAGCCTGACCCGCTGTTGCTCAAGCCAGACACCCGAGTCCTCCGTGACTCCTCGGCAAAGCCTATCCGAAAACTGCCCACAAGTCCTGCCAGCTCTACCTTCCCAGACGTTTTTTTTTTTTTTTTTTTTTGAGACAGAGTCTCACTCCTTTGCCCGGGCTCGAGTGAGTGGCGTGGCGTCAGCCTAGCTCACAGCAACCTCAAACTCCTGGGCTCAAGTGATCCTCCTGCCTCAGCCTCCCGAGTAGCTGGGACTACAGGCGTGCACCACCATGCCCGGCTAATTTTTTTTTTTCTATATATTTTTAGTTGTCTGATTAATTTCTTTCTATTTTTAGTAGAAACGGGATCTCGCTCTTGCTCAGGCTGGTCTCGAACTCCTGAGCTCAAACAATCCGCCCACCTCGGCCTCCCAGAAAGCTAGGATAACAGGCATGAGCCACCGCGCCCGGCCCTTCCCAGACGTTTTTGATCAACCCTCACTTCTACCAGCCCGGCCCGGGCCAGTGCCGGTTTTGCCTAGATGGTGGGAATAGCCTCCCCGGTCGCCCTGCTTGCACTCTGGGCCCCCCAGTCCACACGCCCCGCTGTAGCCAGAGGGGTCTTGTAAATGCCCCTCTGCTGGGATCCCTGCAGGGAACCCGTGCCTCCTGGAGGCAAAGTGTTTCCGGTGGCACCTAGCTAGGGGGCCTCCCGCCTCCTGTCCTCGTCCCCACTCAGGGATGGACCCAGGTTGGACGGGGCCGAAAGCTTAGACTTCGGGGGCTCTTTAAGGAAAAGAATAACAATTTAGCTGTAATCCTAGCACTCCGGGAGGCCTAGCAAGAGCAAGAGCAAGACCGGCGCGCATGTACCCAGAACCACCGCGGCAGTCGGGTTCAGGCTGTCCCTGCACAGAAGCCTCCTGAGCCGTTCCGGGTGTAGTCACGCTGCCCTCCTGCCCCGCCATCTGTTCATCTCTGCTTTTGCCCTTTCGAGAATGTTATATAAATGGGGTCATGCGGTGTGTGTACTCCTGCGATTGTGCCTGTCAATACTTAATTCCTTCCCGTTGCTGACCAGTGTTCCGTGGTCTGCATGTGCCAGTTTGTGTGACCGTTCACCTGTTAAAGGACACCGTCTGCTGGTACAGCTTCTACCCAGTATTGTATTGGCAGTTTTAGCCTGGGCCATTATGCAAGTAAAATAAATAAAACACATCCAGATTGGGAAGGAAGAAGTAAAACCATCTTTAGTTGCAGATGACATGATGTTATATATGGAAAGCTCTAACTAATCCAGGAAAAAAAAACATTTTCCAGGTAATATGAGTTAAGCAAAGTGAAACCAACACAAATATCCATCCACTCATGACTAGATGAACAAAATGTGGTCTGTCTATACAGTGAAACATTGTTTAATCATAAACGAAATGAGGCCAGGCACAGTGGCTCACGCCTATAATCCCAAGACTTTGAGAGGCCGAGGCAGGAGGATCACTTGAGGCCAGGAGCTCAAGACCAGCCTGGGCAACACAGCGAGACCCCATCTCTATAAAAAATAAGAAAAATTAGCTGGGCACAGTGGCTCACGCCTGTAGTCCCAGCTACTCCAGAGGGTAAGGTGGGAGGGTCGCTTGAGCCCGGGAGTTAAAGGTAACAGCGAGCTATGATGACACCATTGCACTCCAGCCTGGGCAATAGAGTGAGACCCTGTTCAAAAAAAAGAAAAGAAAAGAAAAAAGAAGAAGAAATGAAAGGAGATACTGATACATGCTATAACGTGGATGAAACTTGGAAACATGCTAAGTGAAAAGAACCAGACACAAAGGCATCTATTGTACGATTCCATTTCTACGAAATGTCCAGAGCCTGCAAATCCATAGAGACAGAACATAGATTTGTTGTTGCCAGGGGCTGGGCTTGGGGGCCTGGGCCTGGGGGGACCGGGAGTGACCGCTAATGGGTAAGGGTTTCTTCTCGGTGATGGAGACATTCTGGGGCAGATGGTGGTGGTGGTTGTGCCAGATTGTGAGTATACTGAAAGTGACATAATCGTACACTTGATAATGGTTAAACTGGTAAATTTATATTATGTGAATTTTATATCTATGAAAAATATAAGTGAACAATCAAGTTGAGTGATTCCTGTAACTTTATTGTTCCTTTTCAAAATTGTTTTAGCTATTCTAACTCCTTTGCCTTTCTGTGTAAATTTAAGAATGAGCTTTTTTATGTCAACATAAAATCATGCTGGGATTCTGACAGGAATCGAGTTAAACCTATCGATCAATCTGGGGAGAACTGGCATCTATACAGGTGAGTCTTCTAGTCCATGAACATGATACTCGTCTCCATTCATTTGGAGCTTCGATATTTTTAATAAGCATTTTGTAGTTTTCAGCATAGAACCCCGTACATGTTTTATTAGATTTATACCTAAGTCTTTCATTTTCAAAAGCAATTATAAATGATATTGCATTTTTAATTTTGGTTTCCACATGTTCATTGTTATTATATAGAAAATACAATTTTTATGTTGATCTTGGGAAAATAAATAATTCAAAAATCTAAGCTGTTGGAATTCTACATTATTTTAAGCCCTAAAGAAATGTGATTACAGGGCCAGGCATGGTGACATATGCCTGTGATCTCAGCACTTTGAGAATCCAAGGTGGAATCACTGCTTGAGGTCAGGAGTTTGAAACCAGCCTCGGCAACACGGCGAGACCCTATCTCTACGAAAAAGTTAAAAATTAGCCAGGCACAGTGGAGCACGCTTGTAGTCCCAGCTACTCCAGAGGCTGAGGCAGCAAGATCACGTTAGTCCAGGAGTTCGAGGCTGGCTGCAGTGAGCTCACTGTGCCGTGGCACCCAGCCCGAGCAAGAGTGAGGCCGTTTCAAAAAAAAACAGAAGAAGAAGAAGAAAGAAAAGAGAAATGTGGACCTGAGTAATGTGACAGGCAGCTGTAACCTCTGTTTCTCTTTTTTCCTTCTCTCCGTGTGCCTGTTAAATGCTGAAGCTGTCAACTTCCCCTGTGGAAAAACGGCCACAGGTCTGCTTGTGGTTTGTGTTTTTCCCTGGCGGGTTCTCAACTTGGCTTAATAAACCTCCCTTGATTGAGATTTTTGCCTCAGTCACTTATTTGGGTCGACAACTGGAATTAGGTTGGAAAGTAAGCCACGTTATACCAGATTACTAAAAATCCGTTTAATAAAATGTTATCATTTGGAAAGTGTGACTCACCAGGCCTCTTAGGCAGTTATTTGAGCAAGAGGAAAAAAAACGTCAGACCGGAGCCAGCTCTGGTGCCAGCACCAGACCTAGAACCACGTGAGCACCGGCCCCGGCTGTGCTGGGCGGACCCTCGGGGCCGCGGTTCAAGGAGCCACGGAGAAGAGCCTCAGACCACTCCTCTGTCAACCGCAGATGGGAAGACTCTGCCGGGGCCTGGGCTGGGGCTTCTTTCAGAGGCAGTGGGGTGTTCCTGCCTTTGGAAAGGCACAGGGAAACTGGAACGTCCTGTCGGTGAACTCTGCTCCCCAGCAACTCTACCGCCAGCTCCAACTCTGGCGTCACCTCTGCAGCCAGTGCCAGAGCTAGAGCCAGGTCCAGCGCCAGGTTGGCACCAGAGCCTTCCTGGCCTTTGCCTGTGGTTGCAGACGTTCTTGAACCAAACCCGGGTCCGATCACTCACCCGGCTCAGTACAGCCAGACACTGGGCCGAGAGGTGCAGGAGAAAGAGGCATGTTCATCGTAGGGACCATGCAGGGAGAGCGAGCAGCGAACACTCAGACCCACTCCTGGATGCCTTATGAGTCAGGGTCTTTAGAGGCGGGGGTACATTTCGTGCTGGCACAACTGCAAATCAATGTCGAGGTTACACATTGGTCTGGCCCCAAAAGGCGGAATATCCTGAAGTGGGGAGGGGGGGACAGGTGGATTCCGGGGTTCTTGGATTAGTGGAAAGAAGGGTGTGACAGGACGGGGGGCGGGGGGGGGGAATCTGAACAGAGAAGGGCGGTGAGCATTATTCAACTCCTCCCTCGGTTTCTTCCTACGGCACTTTCCCGGTGGGGGTCCTGAAGGACAAGGCAGGAGCGTGTTGGCTCCCCTGCCGGCCATTGTTCTCATCCGGTTGCCAGGCGCCTCCCAAAGCCAGCCAGGCGCCGGGGGCTGCCCCGAAGGGACCCGAGGTTGCCTTTATTTCCATGCTGGGGCAGGGGGGCGAGGCCCTGGGGCTCCCTGAGCGGAGAGATGCGCCGAGGCGGTGGCCTCGCGGGCCTGCGCCCAAACGGTTCGGGGAGCTTTACTTAGGAGGCCAGGCGGGAAGAGGCGCAGGTTCTCGGGGGCCCGCGGCGTTCCACCGCCGGCGGCCTCGCGCGTCGCCTGTCTCGTCAGCACGCCGGATCTCCACCGCCGGGTGTGACTCAAAATGAGGTTATAACGAGGCAGAGTCAGGGAACGGTCAGGGCGGGGGTCCCGCCGGCGCGGGCGGTCAGGCCCGGTAGCCGCCCGGTGCGCTCCTCCTCCGCCGGCGTCGCCGGGCTCGAGCGGGCCGGAAACCGCGCGGAGCCGGGCGACGGGCCGGTCCTCACGCAGGTACGCGCTGAATTCCGGGGGTCGGAGGCGACTTTCCCCTCCCCCGCAGTTAA